TTGTGCAGAGTGCTTTCCAACTGGAATCGTCACACAACCGACCTGGCATCTCTCTCTTTGAGCCAAGGCAGTTGACATACTTTTGGCTTTTCTCCCCATTGTCACCCGCGTCTCTTTAGGCCAATATGGCAATCTTAAGGGGAGGCATCTTAGCCTGTATGTGGGGGGAATGGGTAGGGGGTTTCAGGCAAACAGCCTTTTCATAGGAAAGGAGATTTGGAGGGCATCAGATGTGGACTGCAACTGTAGAGTGACTGCAAAGGGTGCATCATCATACATTCTGGATGTGGTGGAGTTTCAAACAGAGGCTTGAATCTGGAATTTTCCTTTAAGGGTGGCTTGATCACTTGAGCCCTCTGGTAGGAAAGTGTGAAGGGTGGAAGTGAACGTCAGTCTTTGAACAAAAGATGGTGTGCATTACAGAGTTGCTATTCTTTCCTGTCCTCTTTGAGCTGTGGTGTTTTGAATATAAATCATTCAGTAGATTGCCTAACTTGAAACGATGGCTGGATTTGTTGAATAGCAACAGTTGTTGGCACAATCAAGATTTGTAATAAATCGCCATTAATAAGAAAAGATTGAAGTGTGTTTCTATTGCTGGAGCAGATGAATTCAAAGTCAACCTAGGTATACCTGCTCCTTCTGAGACACAAATTCCATTAACTACATTGAATACACAATCCCTCAAAATTGAGACAGGTTTCAGAAGAGACTGTAGATCATATCTAAAACTAAAACAGTTTGTAATCCTGGTAGGTGAATACATTTATTATAGTTGGTATCAAATGTTGGCCTGTGAGAGTTGGCCTGTATTATAATAGGTCTGTAATGCCAAACCTAAATTAAAACATTTCTGGGGGGAAAGCGTGGAGCTTATAAGATTCTTCTGAAGTCTAAACCTTATGCTGTTCAATCATTAAACTGAACATAGAAAAATAGTCTTTAATATGAGGTTATGGGGAGAAAGTATAAAAGTTCTAGTTACACAATAGCTTTAGGTACATTATTTATTAAACTGCAAAGAATAGCAACTAGAGCATCAGATTGCCAGTTCTTTGTCAAAACAAATGCCTGAGGAAACATTTGTTACTATATTTATAGTTAATGTATGAAAATGAGATCAACAACAGAAGAATGCATCCTTGCTGTAAAAGTTCAAAAGAAGAAATTTAATATCCATTTTTAATTTGTTCAATTAGAGGTGTAAATTAGTTTCCAAAGGGTCCCCCCCCCCCCAACTTCATGACTGAATGAAAGATCTGGTATTGCAATTGTAACAATGCCAGTCCCCATTTGGAAGGATTGCCAAAAATTAATTGCATTAAAAATACCTCTTGAGAAATAAACTTATGTAGTAATAGGTAGCTGCAGGCTATTTTAATACTTGCTTCACTTGGGTTGTAAATATAACTATTTCTGTTTCAGATGGAGCAAATAAAAAGAGCAAACAAACTTTTCACAAATGACTGCATATTTCTTAGAAAAACATTAAATATCCCAGTTATATTGGAAAAGGCTTTGCTGTTTAATGGGTGTAACTCACTGGAGTCTCCAGAGGATGATACTGGCAATCCCACTTCTTGCGAAGAAAGCCCTGTGACGGTTCAGGAAGACAGTTCTTCCCCCAGTCCTCAAGAACCTGACAATCGGCTTCCCCCACCCGAAGAACTCTCTGCCAAAGATTTTCTGCATAGAATGGATGTGCAGATTAAATTGTCCAAACAAGCAGCTAAGAAATTAAAATCTGAAGATAACAGGTAAAATCTTATTCACCTCTTTATCTAAAAGATGTTTTTATTTTAAACTACTGAGAAACTTTAATAGATGGTAATATAATAAATAATAGTAGTAATAGAAAACACTATATAAAACTGTTTTTAAGACAGCTACTTAATTTACAATAGCATAATTGCAAATGAGTCCAAAAGTTTGGACTATGTCTAGTATTACCTTGTCTTTCCATATTGAATTGATTAGGGAAATTTTAGATGTGTGTGTGTGAGAGAGAGAGACACACACACACATATGACACATCCCAAATCAATCTGGTAGAAATAGAAGGGAATTAATTAGATACACAGGAGACTGCAGTGACCTAGAGCTGAACCAATAATATTTCTAGTTAAATTACTGAAGGCTTAATCCAGAAGAGATGAGGGCAGAGTGGAGAGAAGGGAGATGGTGTAACTTAATGTCAAGGACAACCAATGACAATACATCACCTGTTTTCTCACTTGTGTTCTTGCATGATACATTTGCTGCTCAGAAGAATAACATTTCTGCAGCAGCCTTCAAATGGCTTAATTTGAAATAATCCTGTTAAAATTGGATAAACTTCTGTGGAGTAAATTTTAAGCAACTGCATATTTTCATAAATTTCTTTTTTCCTCAACAGGGAATATGGTGAGGAAAATTCCTATGCAATTTCTTCCTATCAGCAGTAGAAAATGGGATGAAAGCAGTTTTTAAAGAACTAAATATTTGATGATTCAGAAGATCTTTTGGATTGATATATTGTACTTGTTACAAATCATATTTAAAAATTCCACTGACTGTTGCACTAAAAGTATTTGAATGTTTGCCTTCTATAGGTCAATATTCTTTTACTATTCATTAATAAAGGAAATGCTTCTCCAAAATATTGCCTTTATATTTCTGCTAAAAATGGCACACTAGCAACAATATATTCCTAAGAGAACTTCAATACATTTTTTTCTTTTTGTATACATACATACATACATATAAAAGATAATATTAAAGGAACAATCATTTATTTTAAAAAAAGCCCTGTGAAGTCTTGACTCAGATATGTTTGTAATGCAAATTTTGTGAACTTGATGCTGATGGATGCACCATGATTAAGTTGTATGTTTATGCACATCTGTATATGTCTCTCTGTGTTAACATATATAAAGATAATGCTCTTAAAGTGAATCAGTTTTAGCCAACTTTAAGGAAAAAGAGTTGGGCTTTTAAAATATGTGTGGCAAATTATTTTGTTTGGAAAACAAGGGACCAAACAGATTAAATTGTATTTTTTTTCTTTGTGAAAAGGTGGAATATATTTTCTTGTTAGCACACATACATAGTTTCATGTATTGAATATAAAATGCACTTTAAACAGTTATTGCCTTTGTTGTTTGGCATTGCTTTGCAACTTCTGTACGTTTCAGATATGATTTGTTTCATATGCTATATTAAAATTTCTTAAGTTATACTCTCTTTGCTCCTTTTTCCAACTATATGATCTTTATTTGAAATCAGAATAGTTTGAATACAATTTGTCAGTATGTGTCTTGTAATTCTCAGAAGGAGAATATTAATATTCCATCTGAGGAAGACAAGACCACAGGATGTATAACTTCATCCTGTTTTGGTAATCAGAACAATGTATTTATTACATGCTTGAGTGGAGCTGCTCAGTCTAAAACCAGTGTTACATAACTTGTTTAAAGAAAACTCTTGTGTGCAAATAAAACAACTGGAGCCTTTAGATTTGAAGAAACCCCTAATAGAAATAAAATAGGTACTAAAAGAAATTATCTTCAGACATCTTTATGTCCATTGTTAAACTGATGAATAGTTGATTATAAAACAATGTAGTTATATAAAACAATGTAGTTTTGTAGACTGACAATCTAAAAATACACTAGCACATACTATATTCTCTGGCTTTACTTTAAACATCAAATGAATCTTGGCCTATGACACATTTCCTGTTTAATTATTTCTCCTTTTATTCAAACACTGTGAAGTGTGTTTTCAAATGGATTGAAACTTTCCTGTAGCTTTCTATCTTTAGCTATTTTGAAAGAAGAGTCTTTGATACACTTAAAGTATCGTTTAACCATTTTGATGTTTGAAGGAAACTTGAATCTCAATGTGAGAATGATAATTTATCCGGTCTCTGGTTTAAAGACATCTATATGTGGAATTATATTGGGAATACAGTGAATTTATAAGTGACATCTGTCAATTGGGGGGGAGGGAATGCCATTTTCAAATATTTTACAAAAAAAAAAAGACTTTAAAACATTTTTCTATTTCTAGGTATTGTATTTCTGTTCTTAGCAGTACTTAATCATAACTCACCTTGAAAATGTTTTCAGTACATTTTGCATTGCAACATTTCTTGCTATGTGCGTTTCTGTAAACCTCAGTAGTAATATCCCCAGTTTATTATTTTTAAAGTAGTAATTTAAAGTGGTACCACATGAAGACAAAACCAAGAAGCTGCATTACTTTGTCTTGTAGCAAAGCATTTAATAAAGTACAGTATCAGAAACAGGATTCTATTAGAAAAGTGTATTTTGAATGCAATATATGTGATAGTTTGTTACATTTTCCCCAACAATGTTTTTTTTTAAAGGTAAAAAGGTGTAAAGACACATCAGAGCATTTAAAAGATGTTAAGATTATTTAAAAAGGATTGGTGAGATAAGAACTAGGAAAGTGCAGGATACTTCTATTTCCCATTGCTGGGATCGAGATAATAACAAAGGTGTCTAGCAATTGTTTTTATATGCTAAAATGGCAAAAAAATATCAAGTCTGCATTATGCCTTTGAATACTATATTACTACATTGCTTGCACTGCTTTTAAAAAAATGATTGCTCCATTCTGTACATGCCATGGCCATGAGGGTTATGTACAAGGTTGTTGTTTTCTGGTTGCTTTTATCATATAATATTACCAAATGCTGTATCTGATGTCCCATAGTATGCTAATAGTCAGTCCTCAATTCACAGGAGAACGCCGGGAAAACTGACATAAATAATATACTCTTATGAAAAACATGACACATTGGATATGAATTATACACAGTTTAAAAAACCCTTAAAATTTCACTAGCCTTAGGACTGAATCATCTCAATTGTCCACAGGTCTTATTTAATTACGGGTAATCCTTGACTTAACAATTATTCAGTTATAACAGCATTGAAAAAAGTTGACTTGTGACCATTTTTCACACTTTAACAACCGTTGCAGCCATTCCCATGGTCATGTGATCAAAGTCAGGGAACCTGACAACTGGCATGCGTTTATGACAATTCTGGGGTTACCATTTGTAACCTTAGATTAGGTAGGTAGGCTGTCACTGAACAAGAGATTTATAAATCATTGACACCAATGTTTTTATCCTGTTTCAAAGTTTAAGCTAGTGCATGTCCAGTCAGAAGAAGTTAATATTCCCTGTTGAGGGAAGATGCGTTGGGCTGCATTCTTAATTTCTCTGTTGTATTCCTTCCCATCTCATATAAATGCAAATTCTTTTAATGACTGTTTAAAATGTACGAAGGAATATGAGACTAGTATGTCTGCGGAATACATTAAGTTTCTCTTTTAGAGCTTTTATTATCCAGATGGTGCTAAAAGGATGTTTTCTGAGTTAGCAGCTGCACCAAAAATGAACCCAATACTTCTGTCTAAAACATCCATTTGTGAAGGAGGCTGGCAATTGTAACTGAATTTCAGCACTGGTCTGGCCTCCTTGCCATGACCCTGCAACTGAAGGGATGGACCTGTTCAGCTAGGCTTAGCCAACGAAAGTCAGCCTCCATAGATTATAAACCCCCCACCCCATATTTGGGGGGTTCTCTCCCACGATATATAGCTTCGTCAGTGTCGGCTTCCAGCAGGACCGTGAAGATTTATCAAAATTTATTTCTCATTTGCTAGTTTTAGTCCAAATAGCTTCTAAACCATTTTGTCGGTGCAATTTATCAGGGCAATTTATGGGGAAAAACAATACAAGTAAACATATAGGTGGTCCTCATTGAACGACCACTTATTCGGTGACCGTTTCAACTTGTAACAATGTTGAACTTACAACCAGTCCTCAAAAGTTTTGCCCAACGCGGGCGCCAATGGTCATGTGATTGTGGCAACATTCTGTGCCACATTATCACAATTTGCGACATCTTGTCTTTCACAAACAAAATCGATGGGGAAGCCCGCACATTGTAGTCACGAGAAGACCTTGCTAGATGACCGTGGTCTTCACTTAATGACGGTAACTGAGGACTACCATAATGCTGTCACTAAGTGCAACCACCTGACATTCTTTACAACCGCACTGCTTAGCAACAGAAAATCTATTTCCAATTATTGAAATTAAGGGGTGCTATTTGGACTGTTAATGGAGAAATTAAGCAGAATCAGCCCATCTTCTGACCGGAACGCTCACTGCATGTCAATGTTATAAATTTGGAATCTCAAAACAAAAATAAATTGATTATTATAAGACAAACATAAGCCTCCTCAGGTCACATTCAGAACGAGAACTGAAATGCAGGATTTACTTCTCTCAAGAATTATTCAATGTGCAAGCAACAATTTCCCAGGGAGGGGATGCAATATTCTGTGAATGTAGCCATTCTAATTTTTGAACTGCGACTTATGCCTCACTGCACTGTATGGAGCCCATCCGATTATGGCTTGATCCACAAACCATGGCTGATCAAGCTAAACCAGCATTGTGGATTGTGACTTATGGCTTAGCATGTTGCTTTAACCCAGTTGTGCCTTAGTTTAAATAAAATAAAATAAAATGTGTAAAAGTATATCTCCTGAATAGAAAGGGAGCTTGGATCTTCCGCGTTAATTCAGGTCAAATTGAAAGTTTACAAAAATGAGGCGTTTATGAAACCTCGTGTTGCTAAAAGATACTGCATTCCCGCAGTCCTAGCGTATCACTTGTCCTATATATATATAAATGTCTGGTTCTAAGCACAGCTCTAAGTTCAAGTACCTTGCTTCACCTCCTTTTTTACCCTTAGAAATGGTTATTGACATCATCATTAAGCTACTCACATCAAGAACTGTTCTTTATACATGCAGAGAAATTACACTTAACTAAGAACGATGGAGGAGGATGTGAAGGGTAACCGTTGCTACTGTACCTGACCGTAGCAATACGGTGACAATACGGTTCTTTCTCCCTGTAAAGATTTTGTTTTGAAGGCTGGTGCTGGGTTAAACACACAGCCACGACTTGATGGCACATGGGTGGAGGAAGAACAAAGCAGAATGCGCAAACAGCAAGAAAATGGATATATTACAGCATTCCAACAATACTTTCTGGGACACGAAACAAGAGAATGCAAAGGTGAGGTTCTTTGCAAGAACTGAGCGGAGCTAAACTGAGTTAATTCACTTGGGTTGCCCCTAGTAATGCCCTTTATCGTGTGTCCCCACCCCCCGAACAGTATCTCTTAAAAGCCATTTCATGATGAAACAAACTGGCTTTTTATCCAAAGTATATAATCTGAAAAGAGCCACTGGTTATGTTAAGGGGGACATGGTGTAAGCAGCTGTTATACCCTGTTATCTATAAAGTGGGCGGCTCATTTACCTTAAGGGGGGCGGGGCGATCAAAGTTGAGAAGAAACAAATAGGCAATTGTAGGGGGGCGGGTTTAAAACCCAGATAAAATTTAGTACAATGGAGACAGAATACTTTCTAATCACCTCTTTTTCCTGGGATGTGGTGGGGAGAAAGAAATTTGTAGGTCTTAGAACTAGATGTGGGTGAAGCTAGACTAGAATTCCATACAGTCTTCGGGAGTTTTTTTTTTTTCCCCCCTCTCTACAGGCTGCCGTAGATACGCTTGATCACATCTGCCTCTTCTTTATCCAGGATGCCCTTGTCCACGTAAACATCAGCTTGTTGGTCTATGAAATCCCGCAGTTTCGAAAGATCGTAATCTGAAATGGAAAGGATTCGGGC